CGACCATTGTTCCGGTTGATTTGATTTTGTATCTCTCTATAGAGCAGTCATAATAACAAGCTTAGCAACCAACTCGGTCTGTGCACATAAACACCAAATCCTTTCTAAATATATAATTTCTGTAAATGTGTTTAAAATTTAAAACATAATGTTACAACGTTATGGTAAATAAATTACAATACAATTTGAGGTTATGCCACCATGGCATTTGTTAGTAATGTTAATAAAAATAAGGTATCCTTAGCTCTTGTACACACTACTACTGTGTTTGTACTCTACTTGCAATATTGGAAATTAATGTAAAACATTGAAACATACATACATAATACTAAATTAACAATATACATTTTTTCTAAATACAATTTAATTGCTATCAAACTTTGCATAGAAATACAGAAGTACCGCCGTCGACTTTTGATTTATTTCCTCAAAAGTTTACATTTTACAGTTGCGTGTCAATGTGGAAAGGCCGACGTGTCATGCACACTCTTTCCCTGACAATTTCAACGAACAACAACTTGCTCCTAATTGTGTTTGCGATTCCTTTAGAAGGCTCTTTTGACTCGACTCCAATTGTGAAAACTCGTTTTGAAACGACATTAAATACGACCGAATTTCAGATAATTAACTCAGATTACGGCCTTTCAACGTAAAATTCGCTTTTGTTACAGATAATTTGAAGAAACGATTACTTTGATACAATATTATTGTTCTGACTGTTTGTAGCTGTGATTATCTTTGCTTATACTACGCGTGTAAAGTAAGACGTATATTGTTTCTAAAGCATAGTAAGTACTTCTTGCTTTAAATTACCAGTAAATCGACTTACGTGATGCAACAAAAACATTTCTATAGAACGGTATTTTTTTAAATAACTGTAGCAAGCATCAGTTTCCATGAAACAACCGTGAAACGTCCCGTAAACAAAAGTCTGACCACCGTGCAAATGAAATATCCAGCAACTTAAAACGCATGCATATTCTGCCAAAAAACCCTATTATAATCTGCATCGCACACCAGCGGACGCTCTTTTCATTCGATGCCTTTTGTTGGCAGATTCAATTAAGTTTACATCGGCACCGAGGTCAGTTAATAAAAACCGAAGCCTACAAAAATTGGCGCGTAAATCAAATTCAATAAAGTGCAGTACAATAGAACGGTGTGGACCAACGGTAAATGACGCCGGTAAACAATCACGACTCACATGGCACACCAATCATATTGTTTGCATCGAAGTTTTTTATTACACTTTTAATATGAACTCGATTAATAAGATGTAACAATTATTGTACCAATTGTACCATTATGAGTAACTATACATTTCAATATCAAGTTATTTAATTCTTTATCTTGTGGTTGAATAAATGGATCGACGAAACCTCAGATAATTCGGCCATTTAGAATATTTAGTCTTAGGCTTAGGATCTTCAACACACTTCCTCAAACACCGTACCAACGAATTTTATTAAAGATCAGACTATATTAGCTATTGTTGTTATTCAGATATACGTCAGTATCTGTCCCTAATATTATTATAGGAATGTATATTCGAAAGCCTCAATGATGTATGTGAATTAGCTGGTTTTTATGACACCATACTAACCATATTTAGAGACCATACTTTTCATTCATTCAAGACCATCGTTGATACCCGATCGTGTGTGTTGAGTTCCGGCATACTAACATTTAATAGATAAGTTAATTGTAGCTTATGGATAAGCTTGCTAACCTATGTTTGTATTATATTATACAGAGTTGTTGGTTTCAATACGTTTCCAATGGCGATCGGCGAAATTGTCATAGAGGCTTCCGTTACAACCACAAGAATCCGGCTCTGTCCAGTGTTCATGTATGTCTCTAGATGGTGACCTGGGATGTGGGACACCTGATGTAAAGTGGTTATTGAAGCCCATAGTCATCTACGACGTAAATGCGCCACCCACCTTGAGATATAAGTTCTAAGGTCTCAGTATAGTTACAACGGCGGCTCCACCCTTCAAACCGTAACGCATTACTGCTTCACGAAAGAAATAGAAAGGGCGGTGGTACCTATCCGTGCGGACTCACAAGAAGTCCTACCACCAGTAATTACGCAATTTATAATTTTGCGGGTTTTTTGTTGCGGGGTTGATTTTTACTACACAATGTTATTCCTTCAACGTGGAAGTCAATCGTGAACATTTGTCAAGTACCTACGTATTTCATTAGAAAAATTGGTGCCCGCCAGAGGGATTCGAACACCGTTGCATCGCTAAATACGAATGCACCGGACGTCTTATCCTTTAGGCCACGACGACTTAAACCTATACCTACCTATACCTTTACGTACATATAAAACAGGAAATCCTAATTTGGGGCTGGATGACCGTTCGTAGTTTATTCACAGCTATTTATTTATTTATTATTATTATTGATCTTTATCCGAAACTTTCGTGACAGAGTAGTACAGACAGACTGATGCATTGCAATACGTCAATAAAGACAACGAATATCACAATGTAACAAATACCTTGCTTCGATAGGCACCTCACTGTCACCCTTTCACATTAAGAATTCTCGTCCGCCCTGCCACGTTTCCGAATTAATCGCCCAAGATCCTACTCTATTAAAGTTTCTTTTGTAAGTTGTTTAAGAAGCTCAACTCCCTTACAACTCCGTAGATAATGTTAAACATTCATTTAAGTGCCCGCCCAACTTCCGAATTGTCGTATAAATCTTATAATTCTTCAACCGTTTATTATTCATATCATCGTTCTGAACGTCACACTTCGTGAACTGCGCGTAAACTTTTGCTTTGGAATATATATCTAATAAGACTTTACAACCCCTCATAAAATAATACGGTGGTGTGAAAAACCTCAGGTTCGATACTGAAATGCTAATGTTATATTGGTATTATATTTAAATATTGCTATATTATTTATTTACACTGCTAATGGTATAAGCGACGATCAGAAAAAACAAACCAGTCTAAATGTTTGATGTTGATATTTTTTTTTAATCTTACACCCTAATGTTTGGTTTCTTATTTAACGGTTGGTTTAACGGCCGTCTGGTGTAGTGGTAAGTGACATGGTCACTACACAAGAGGGTCGCGGGTTCGAATCCCGCCAAGGGAAGATATTTGTTTGATAAATATAAATGTCTTTTCCAGGGCTATGGATGTATATTAAATATATGTATGTGTATAATAAAAATCTTACATTTATTTCCGTTATCTGGTACCTGTAACACAAGTTCTTTACGAACTTATCACGGGACCAGTTAACGTGGCGTAATTGTTAGTAAATATTTATTTATTATTTATTTAATATACATAATGTAATACAGATAATTTATTAGATAAAAATAAATCCAAAACATATTTCAACCCGAACTGCGCAATGAACGACAAATTCTTGTTTCATTATAGCCATTAAATGTTCAGAAGAGTCAGTTTACGTGCAGCGTAATATAAAATAAAATTTGAACAGCGGTGCAACTCCATTACCGTTCACGTTCGATGGATCCTCTGGGACGTTTTCCTGTAATGTCGATCGCTGCCGATCTGATAGCTCACTTAACAATGTAAGAAAATTATCTTAGCATGTGACTCTCGGAACGTTTGAATTTAAAGACCGAATAAAGAGTCGGAGTCTCACAATGTATGCTAGAACGGTCACACTCAATCAAGATCTGAGCTATTTTACAACGTCTTCTTTGATACTATTAAACTGTCACGGATCAGTCGAACGTAAACTGAATTTAAAATTTCAAAAACCCATTGTATAGTCGAGTCGAATATAAGTCAATAGCAATTAATGCAGGCACGTTACGGGTAAAGTTCAGTTAACCAAATCCGGTATCATTTTATGTTCGACGGAAAAAACAATAAAACCGATGGCCGTAACGGATGGCCTTTAAATATTCGTTCAATTGTCCGTCGATAAAAATAATAAAACGAAGACAATAAAAACCATAACAAAATTAATGTTGCACAATTTTATACTGTGTTTTCAAACTTACTTAACGGGTACTCAGAGAAGCGTGCTAAGCAATAGCGGGAAGCCGCCAAAACACGTAGCTCGTTCATTCACGTCGTTATAACATCGCCAATCTGAGAAGATATCCGATTTCCGTAAGGCGACCCGGTGTCTACGAAACGTAAAGAGGGATCTTTTCAAACTGGAAATGTGTTAGTCGTCTGAGCGTATACCTACTACTGATGTCACGACATCAGCGGTTTCCAAACGACTACTACACTCATTTGCGGGTTCTATCACAATCTTACTGTTTTTATGCTTCTCCCATAAATAGTGAACCAAATTCTAAATGGGCAAACAAAGTTTAATATTTTTTAAATAAGCAATATAATATTTAAGCTATAAAATATAACTACGATTTGAAACACTTACCAATTTGTAGCTTTTCAATTATTCAGCTATTGATTTTAAACTAAATACCTAAGATAAATGAAGCTTCAATCGGCTTGTTTCCACTCTAATCGTCTAAGAAGGCAGAGGTATTTTTTACTTATTCCGCATATTTTTCAAAGGCCGATAGCTTGGAGCTCTTTAATACGCGTACTTAAACACCCCTAACATGAATAATTAGGTGTTCCCCAGATTTATCATCCCGGGTTATCTGTAAAACACGGGCTTAAATCCGCTAAATCATTATTTCTACTTTATTGAGGATAATACGTCTTCCAGTGGATGTGAATCTGATTAATGCCTTCGGCATGAGACCGAGCAACTTTGTCAAAGATAGCGGAGAAAAATAAAGGGACGTGACTCGACTAATTCACATTTTACGACAAGAGTTAAGAATAATTGTGAAAATATTTACAAAAAGAGGTTTGAAATTTAAATAGTAACCTGTATGACACTTTTATTTTTAATCATCCTATTCTTCTTTTGAACTCCAAGTGTCAAATTAATTGGCTTGACATTTTCAGAATAGAACGTCAGAGATTTAATAAAGTGGTTTTTGGTGTTTATTCAAGGAGCAATTATATTAACATGATATATTTTGGTTTTGTATTCACTTTTGCGTTCGGTACCTAATCTACTTCTATTTAACTAAGATTTTCATAAAGTTTAAAGCACATTCATTAATTGCCATTTCTCTTACTTTCAGTCGTAATATTGTCTCCACAAGCAATTGCTCAAGGAGAAAATGACATCAAACGAGGAACTTATCCTTATATGGTATGCTTTTGAAATTCATATGATGACAATCGTTTTAATAATAATCTATTCCGCTAAAAACGATTGTTTCTATACCTTACAGGCATTTGTTTACTATCTAGACAATACAATAGTGGATGAGTCTGGTGCCCGCTTCCTGCAAAGCGCGTTCCTCATTCGTCTTGACTGGTTGGTCACATCGTCGATTGACGTCAGCAGTCCAGATAACAATGTCGTGGGATTTCCAACTAAAACATTACTAGCCAGAGTTGGTGCTGTCACTATTGATACTAATTTCACCCTTAACGAAGATGAAGATGAACAGGAACAAGAGGTATATTGTTGCCTTCCCTGATACGTAATCTAATTCTAAAATAACAATTCGGAATCCCATTAAAATTATAAAAGTAACATTTGAAAAATTAATATAAAAAATTAGTCGCATGTAGGTATATTGTTTTATCAAAGCAAACATTAATGAATACAATGATTTATTCGTATATTTCCACAATTAGCTTTAATCGTTAATTTTTTCATATTTTTTTTCATGGAAGATTATTCAAGTGGTTCGACCGTCCAATCACAATGCATCTGAATGGTGGCGCACTGACATTTCCCTGCTAAAGACGATATTTCCATTCAAAATCACTACTGCTGTTAATAGTGCGTATTTTCATTTGAAGATGGAAACCTTTAACAAGCCTTGTTTCATTCTAATTTTCATCGTAAGTAGTGTATTTGTTTTTTTTAAATATATTTTTTTTTATTACTTATATGGGTGGACGAGCTCACATCCCACCTTGTGTAAAATGGTTACTGGAGCCCATAGACATCTACTGCGTAAAGGCGCCACTCACCTTGAGATATAAGCTCTAAAGTCTAAGTATAGTTACAACGGCTGCCCCACCCTTCAAACCGAAACGTATTACTGCTTCACGGCAGAAATAGGCAGGGTGGTGGTACATACCCGTGCGGACTCACAAGAGGTCCTACCGTACCAGTAAAAATACTTCACTTGCTCTTTTTTAAACATTTTTACAACACAGAAGGAGTCTGGTAATTTTTCCGACGACAAAGTACTCAAACGGACTTCAGTCGAGCTTCAAATACCATCGACAAAAGAAATTTGCGGAGCACGATTTACTGAAAATTCTATGGTTTGCGCTGTTGAAAACGATGAATACAAAAACAACACTGTGCAAGATTTTTGCCTTGTAAGTAGAATAATACTAACGTTTTTCCAACAGTTTCAACAGCGAATGTTTACAATTGGAGAGCTATAATTTGTGCATGTAACCTATTTTAAACTCAACAAGTGCAACTTCTATTGGACCAGTTTCCTTTTAGCCTAGCCCTTTTTAAGCAAAATTGAGCCCTAACTGATCTTATTAGATACCGGAGGCCGTAAATGTTATTATTGCTCACCTAGAAACATAAGATTGAATAAATTAATTTTCAAATCCATCAAACCATAGTACGTTATAGGCCATATGCCCTCTCATCATTATTAGAAAATGTAAAAAAGTATTATTTCCATCAGGGTAATAGTGGCGGACCGCTAATATGTCACAACGAAGTAGTAGGAGTGCAAACCTATGCTGAACTGAACTGTAACCCACCATACCTCTATCAATTATTAAACCAATGGGAAAACTTTATATCTTGTGGAACAGATGACAAATGTCATGAAAAAGAATGCAGTAAGCATTGTGTTTCATTTCATAAAGATGTGAAGACTGAACAAAATAAACCTACTTTAACGGCAAGAATCGATTATCCTAAGTCTACAGAAAAAACATTTGAGAATATAACAGCTACATCAGCTCTGCCGGAAACAGTCACCGAAGAAGGTGAAATTGAAATGACACCGACATTAACCACAGAAGCGACAACAACAGAAGTAAATACAACCACGAGGATTACTTTACCAACATCAGTAGGTAGAGCAACTACAAAAACAAGTAATATGAAAGATGAAATTCGAGCAGACTCAACTGAAAATCTCAGAAATAGTCGAAAAAGGTTAGAGCATGTCGAGGAAGAGGCTAAAAGAAAAGTAAACGTGGAAGCTCAAAAAGAAGATAAAGATCACAAAGAGACAAAGATTGTTAAACTGAGTAGTGCAGCAGACAGGAACAGTGCTATTCATTGTTATCTGTTTGGATTAATGTTTTGGCATTTTATTTAGGAACCAGTAGCATGTTGCAGATATAACTCTCTAAATTAACAATAAATTTTTGTTCAATTATGAATGTAATTAATTTAATCCAAGACTATATAAACCCAACAAATCTTTAACCAAATTTAATGAGTTCTTGGTAAGATTTATAAACTGAAGAAATTTAGTTAGAAGATGCACTTGCGAGGTGTCTGGGCCAAAGTTTGGAGAATAAGAAGAATTAAGTAGCGTTGAAGGCTTAACGCCTCCACAGCTTGCTCTAATAGCATTAACAAGTTTCCAGACAATATTGAAGGAATATTTGTACATTTACTTAAAAGTTATTTATACAAACCATAGGCACTGAACATTACTCTCAAAAGTTTTGTTGTTCATTGGAATTAACAACTAAGTGTATCAAGTTTTATTTTTAAGATTTATTAGACAAAGAATTGAACGTTATAATTTTTATATTACATTTTCTTATTCGATTAACCTATTGTTATAATACAATAAAAAAATTAACTTTCGAATTACTTAAACCTGAACAGTGTTCAAGAAAGGTAAATCTAATATTCCGCTGTATAGGTAAAGTGTAGTGGGCAAAACAATGACTAATTTGTGATGAGCCAGTATCTCTAATTAGCATATCGGGTGGCGGCAAATCCCTGGTCTCGACTTCGCGAAGGACCCAATTTACATTTTCACAAGTCGCGGTTAAGTACACTTAACTTCCAAGTCTACAAGCCTCCTGTAATTTGTTTCGAAAGCGTTAAAGCCTTGTTTAAATATACTTTGTGGCTTAGCAAGGAACTATCTTCAGCGGCTCGTTTCTTGTTCTGAACTTGCGTTTTGTCTGAGTTAAGCTTTTTTTTAAGCTATATGCAAATTTATTTGTTTTTGATTGTTATGAAAATTAAGAATTAACTGAGAGAAATGGTGGGAAGACTATTGATGGACAAACCATTCTACTGAACTATTGGATTGTAGGATTACAGGACTAGCGTTTATTAGTGTCGAAATTGCAGTGTGTAGATTTTTTTTTAATTTGATGGGTGGACGAGCTCACAGCCCACCTGATGTTAAGTAGTTACTGGAACCCATAGACATCTACAACGCCACCCACCCTGAGGTATATAAGTTCTAAGGTATAGTTACAAAGGCTGCCCCACCCTTCAAACCGAAACGCATTACTACTTCACGGCAGAAATAGGCAGAGTGGTGGTACCTACTCGTGCGGACACACAAGATGCCTACCACTAGTAATTATGCAAATTATAATTTTGCGGGTTTAATTTTTATTGCACAATGGTATTCCTTCACCGTGGAAGTCAATCAAGAGCATTTGTCAAGTACGTATTTCATTAAAAAAGTTGGTACCCGCCTGCGGGATTCGAACACCGTTGCGTCGTTATATACGAATGCACCGGGACGTCTTAATCTAGGCCACGATGGCTTCTTATTTATTATATGTATATAGACCAGCTAAGAAAGAGAGCGAGAAAGGGAGTAGTTGGTATCTAGCCATGAATCTCATGGACAATTCTTTTTGCTAGTACAAAATGTACAGCCTCGGACATAGTCTTAAACTTTCACAAGTTCTATGTTAGGACAGCGGGCGCGTTACGGCTGATACGATAATAGTGATAAAATGTTAATATCGATACACCGATACAAGGATACGTGAAAAGATGAGAACAGAAAACAAAACATGTTAAAAAGCGCGATAAATAGGAAATTATTTGAAGCTAGAAAATGGAAGAGGTGAAAATTTTAAATTCTCAAAACGTTTGAATCGAAATGTATCTTAATACTCCTCAATGTGTTTAAATTCCGAATGGGGTTCGCATCGGAAAACTGTTATGCATATTTTAAAGTTAAATTTACTTACAACGGAGCTTCTGTACCGAATGAAGTTTCAATGTGAATATCTCTCCGTGAATTTAAAACTGTTTTATGATATTCCTGAGACGTGCCTTCGCTAACTGTAAATTTGAAAATAAATCGACTTGATCATTCGATTGAAATTTATTTTTCATTCACAAGATTCTCACATTGATCATATAAACGTAAGTTACGATATTTCTTAGTGTAGAGTTGTATACTATTTTTTTTTATTGCCTTTGTAGGCAGACGAGCATACGGCCCACCTGATGGTAAGTGGTCACCGTCGCTCATGGACGTCAGCAATGCCAGGGGCTGAGCGAAGCCGCTGCCTACCATAAATACAAAAATAGACTTCTGAAAACAAAACAAAAAACTTTAACAAAAAAATCATTTTAACTTTAGGCAATTAACATTAACGCGAAATACAATGAGTTAACAAACAAAATAAATTAATTCAACAATCTCGTAAAAAGAAATAAGCAGTTCATAAACTTTTAATAATTAAAACTCAGATAAAATAAGTACAACGATGGACATGAACCAGTTTTATTAGAGCTCTCCTACCCCAAGTATTTGTATATAAAAACTCGAACCAGACTCGGTTTTCCAGAGATACAAGAGAATAGGTCCCGTGTAAAATATTTTTCCGAATGACTTCCCAGTAGGAATGCAAAACTGAAAACTGCCGTTAGCACAATCAAGACCCGGCATTAAGCTGCTCGTCCACCAAAGCGAAGAATAAAATAATATGCTGTGCCAACAAGAGGCACTGTTACGTATCCTGTTACATTCCTGATTATTGTATATATATAAGAAACCTAAGTATAAAACATAAATTATATATAAATTATTTTCTAAAATTTAATTAATTAAGCCAAATACGATACGAATTTTAGTTGCATTATATGTTAAGAAATTTAACATAACCATAGTGCGGATTCACAAAACTAAAAATACAATATTTCAAGTACTACTAGTACACACGCTTATAAAGTGAAATAAATAGCTTTGTATTAAATGAAGATATATCTTAGTGTCTATATTTTTAATTTAGAAAATTAATGGAAATCTATGCAGTAGTTTTACGTGATGCGCGCACAAAGGCAGACCTCTATCGGTTTATTTATACAGACAAAAAGGATACGCACGAATGCCGAGCATAATATGATATTACAAATCGAAATAAATCATTGTAAGTAAACAAAAAAATGTTATTGAAAGTATAACTGTATCCGCTTCTACCGTCGACTGTAGGCAATTTTCAATCTCTTTCCTATTTGTGACAGTAATAAAGCGCCCGGGAAAAGTCAACAATCAATTTTGTATTTCAATTTATTCCCAACCATCTTAGTTCGTGCGGTGATAAGAAAAAGAAAAACGCGTTCATTGAAAACGGAAATTATTGCAAGAAGCCATCAGTGGTGTGCGCCGGCTTCCTACGCTGTTTTATTTCCATTTTTTGTTTGTCTAATGGTTTCGATTTGTGCCATTGCGATATTTACGCGTCTCATTATCGTGTTTGTCACGGGAAAGCCCAGTTCAGAATTCAAACTTTTTCGTTCTCAGATTTTTTAATGTAGCTTATATTTAAAGCGGTTACGAAAACAAAGTCAGAGCTTGGGAAATACGAATATACCAAAATTAATTATTCGTGCTTACTACAATTAATGAAGACAGTTTTACGTCAAGACATATATTAAGTGTATAATCTATGGTCAAGACTAAGGCAAGGATTCAATATAATTTCGACTTTGAGAACTATCATCTTACAGCCTGTACGTTTACACGGCAATTCTGATAAAAACAACAATTATTTTTATAGTTTTAAATTATTATATAATAGTAGCAGCATATTTGTGGACCGAATTTCGCGATTATTTTTTTTCAGATATAAGTTCTAAGGTCTCAAGTAAAGTTACAACGGCTGCCCCACCCTTCAAACCGAAAATGCATTACTGCTTCACGGCAGAAACAGACAGGGTGGTGATACCTACCCGCGCGGACTCACAAGAGGTCCTACCATCAGCCATTCATTGTATGTTTAAATACATTTTACCGAGTAGTACATTAAGCTGGCATCAGTAGGTTATGACTACCATTGGCGCGAAGCAAAGTAAGAGTCGGTCAGTCGTTATACAATATAATCAACCTCATGTTTCAAGGTATTCACGTATGATTATGTGACTTAGACGTCTATAGATTCTTGTGCTATTCCTTTAAATTAATCCAAACAGTTTAGGGTGAATATGGTTATGTTTGTGGAGCTGAAATTAAAGATGGCATCGATAACAATTCTATCAGGGCGTACTGGGCCGACAATGAGGGCGGCGAAGTGCCGGGAAATTGGGGTGATTTTTCTTGTATACACGTCCGCTCTGTACTGTTAGCATAAAACTCAAACTAATATATAAATATTAATTATTTTTTATTGCTAAGAACCTATCTTATTATTGTTTGGGCAACCTGTTTACCATTTATTTATGGGCACACAATAGAGTATCTTGAACTGCGTTAAGAACCAACAAAGATCAGGGTTTTTTATTGCAATAGATGGGTGCACGAGCTCACGGCTTGCCCGGTGTTAAGTGTTCACCGGAGCCCATAGACATCGACCATGCCATAATGCCGCCGCCCATCTTGACAAATGAATTCTAATTTTCAGTTTTTACAGTACAACGGCTGCCCCACCCTTAAAACAGAAATCGAAACCGTAATGCTTCACGGCAGAAATAAGCAAACTGTTAGTATCTACCCGTGTGTGCTAAGGAGCCCACAAGTAATTACGCAAATTATTATTTTTTTACAGGTTTGATTTTATTACACGATGTTATTCCTTCATCGCGGAGGTTATTGGTGAAGATTTTTACTTTTATATTTACTAAATGCTTAAAATATAATATTCATAAGTGTAAAATTTTTGAATTCCGTGATTTTCAAGGCTACAAGAACTGTGCGATATTCAAAACATCAGAAATTGTAAAATTAAATTAAATTAAAAGTTAAACCCGAGAATAAAAAAGTCGAGGTCATCTCGTTTATTTAAAACAACACCGAAACAACCTCAATATATTCTTGTGTTAGCTTAGAATGGCAATCTCTTCTCGGAGGTGTAAAAGTAACTGAGGAATTCCCAAGATATTGGGCATCAGCGATCTCTGTCTTTATTGTACCACCATACCATAACACAGATAACCGTCATTTATCGGACAGATGTTGATTTAATTTATCTTAAATAGGGCAGATAAAATTAAATTCACCCATTATTCACTTAGTTCAAGTTATTCAAAGTTTTTATTCAAAATACGTAGAGCTTCAGGAAACGTCTAGTTGTGAATAAAACTAAAAATTAACGGATTTATTTTGAATTTACTGTGCAATCTGTACTCTGTAGACGATTTCGTACTCCTTTAGTGGTTGATATCAGAGAGCGTGGCGGCGTAGCTACTAGCGGTCGCGTAATGCTCCGATATGAGATCGCTTCATTGTCGATTTTCACCCACTAAAATAGTATCTTTTCAAATTTCCGCTCACCTCTGCCCCCTGTTGCGAAATAACATTCATTGTCTGTTTACATATGTGCGTTACAGTTCGGAAACCTTTCAAGGATTTTTCGTGAAATTTATTTCTCTAAAAAAAAAGTGCGTGTGTATAAAGTACACATGCCAGAAGTGAAGCTTTTTTGGCGAACTAATTTATAAGTCTTGCTTATATTTATACAAATCTAAAACTTTAGATTTCAGAGACTTAGAGGAAGGGAAAAAGGAAGATATGTTCCCGCCAAAAGTCTGTCAAATGTCAATCTCAAACCTCAGTGTTGAAAGTCACATTATGTTTAGATTTCTAAATTGTAAATGACTAATATTTTGCCAATTGAATTGACTAATTTAATTTCATGCTATTTGATTAATGTTCCAAATTCTTTTCATTTCATTTCAATTCCTATTAACATTTTTCACAAAAAAATTATAAAATATTAGACTGTATGATATGATACATTTACCTTTCCAGTTGGAAAAATACACCAACNACAGTCACATTATGTTTAGATTTCTAAATTGTAAATGACTAATATTTTGCCAATTGAATTGACTAATTTAATTTCATGCTATTTGATTAATGTTCCAAATTCTTTTCATTTCATTTCAATTCCTATTAACATTTTTCACAAAAAAATTATAAAATATTAGACTGTATGATATGATACATTTACCTTTCCAGTTGGAAAAATACACCAACTACTACTACTGACATTTGACAAGTACTTAATTTCAATAGTAGTTTGATGTCACTTCCGTTGCATACCTGCGTGACGTTCTGTAAAAATTTTACCCCCATGCGCCTAAAGAAGTTTCACTTCAAAAATCTACTGGTTATGAATTATTCGATTATTCTGTATCTGTGTGACAAAATGACAATACAACTTATGTGTATATATATATATATATATATATATTTAATAATGAAATAAACGTGATTGCGAGTACATTTTTGATAATTAAACGTTTCAATTAATCGTAATCTATTAAAATATTATCAAAGTATTACCGATAATACTTTGGTCTGCTGTTGTAGCGAACAGCATCGTACATGTTATTGACAATGCTAGTTTCCGACTAGCGAGAAAACCATTAGAAACCACCCTGACTAGCTGGAACAACTGAGTTTACCCTAAATACGTTTGTTGATAGCAAATTTTTTAGAAACGGCGTTATTCATTCTGTACACCTGCTTATGGGAGATTGTCAGGAATTGAAATATGGAATATGGAAATATGGAAATGAAATCACAAATTATTTTAAACAAGGTTTTAATGAGCTACATCTTTGGTCGTATCATTGGTTAAAGACCTGTCACATTCATATTTATACAAACGTGTGAAGGATTGTCTACATTTACGAGTGCAGGAGGACGTGTAGCCGCCAACGTATTATTTATTATTTAGGATTCTAAGATTATTAGCATCATTGAAATTTAAATTATTGAATAGTTTGCTGGCAGCTGCATCTAGATGAAATGCAAAATAAACGTAATATAATTACAATATTATATCTAAAAAAACTAATTTGAACTATTTAATATTGAATATTATTTTATACATTTAAAACATCAGCTACACAGTTCGAACATTTCTTATTTACCGAAATACAATAATAGGCTATGGAAATTTATTTACATAAATAATACAAACGTTTCAACAATATTGTTAATAAAACTTAACAGTTTTTACAATTTACATAAAACGAAACAACAAATTATTATCAAAGAAAATCGTTTTAAATCAATTTACTATTTTACCGAAATTATTTGATAATAACATGCAAAAGTTTGTCTTCGACCGCATTCTTGGACAGTAAAATCAGAATGTTGTAAACTAAAATATAAAATTAAAATGGCTTAGCCCAAATTATACGTTATTCGATCCAGGAATTGAGACAAAAGAATCTTGTACTATTTCATATTTTACATTAAACTACAATAAACGATACTATTTACATCAACGCCAATTATTTCATAAATTTATATTTTTCACTAAAACCTGCCAGTCTTTAAGCCCGCACTTCTAAGAGCTTGTCACACGTACAATCACCTTCGATACTAACTAGCTAATGCGAACTTTTCTTTTTGTTAGCAAACTCCAAATAGTTTACAAGATCGTTCAGGCTTCCACGATAAACATTATGCTATTTTAATTAATTGAAATCGTTCATTGAGATCAAACAATTATATTACTAAAAAAAATTGTTTTTATTCGATCTAAATTACGTCATCAAATAATTACGAACTAGTAACAATGACAACTAACTACGGTTTGGCATTTACTTTGCTTTTATTACATAATAAATATAACACTGACACAAATTACCCACTTTTGTTTTAACACACTGACGCTCTAGTCTTTGGGTCGCTTACTTAGTACGACTGTTCAGTTTTGATACTTGGCATACGGGTGGGCCGCGTCTCATACGCGGTAATCTCAGCTGGTTGCCGAGAGGCCCAGGGGCTTGAGGTGCGGGGGGGCAGCAAACGGAGCCGGAGACGAACCGGACATGTTGTTGTTCATGTCGCCGGAACGACCTGACCCGTTCATGAGGCCGCCCATCGCACCGCTCGTCTGTTCAAAATGTTCAGCATTAAGTAAATATTCAGCATGAAGTAAATGTTCAGCATAAAATCAATTGTACTTTTAATACGCTTTTATTAGCTTCAGACGTATGTATGTTAGTATGTGACGGAATCTTTGAACATGATTTTTACCCTCTTCAAAACGTCGGATTAATTCGAAATTTGGCATACTTATTAAGGACCGATGACAATTCAATATTTAAAAAAAATGATTGAAAAATTCGAATTCACCTAAAAAATTAAAAATAAATAATAGTTAAAAAATAACAAAAAAATACGCTGTTATAGAAAATTCAACTAAAAAATAGAATATAAATTTTAATAAATTTGAATTAAAAATAGTGTAGGAAAAAATGATTTTATTGTAAGAAAGCGTGGGGTGCTTTTCAGGATATTATCAATATAACCCTTCTACTCATATCTGTTCATAAAATATTTATAACTGCTGATACCATGCACCCAATTTATTAAAATTTATTTTTAAACGGGTAAATAAGCTTGAGTTAAGCGTTTGCCGCATCCCTTTGATTAGAACATGATTGTCGCCTCCAGACTTGAAAAAATATAAATTCATTCTTAACTGGAATGCGTGATTTCCTTGCAGCAGACTAAATAGGACAGTACCCATTCAGTATAGTAAGTTACATCTAGTACACTTATTTATTTACAATGAACTAAATGTTTTTAAATATTTACACACAGATAAAATATGAAAATTTAAAATAAACCTTGGAGGATTCAAATTTCTTCTAATTTTATGTTTGGCTTATTTGACGAGCACTTACATTTTGAAATTATTTTATAGTAAAAACATCTAATCTATGATACCGTTTTATACCGATATTTATATAAAAAATAACATTGAATACAAAAGCGATATTTACCGGAGGTGGAGGCAAATGCGTAGTCTGTCGCTTGAGATGTGCCAGTGGTGGTGGATTGTACGCCATGTTTGCGAAAACCAGCCTCTCTTCGTAATCGTACTCGCAGAGAATCTTATTTTCGCATAAATAGAATCGATCGCCCACACAAAATCTGCCAACAAAAATATTGTTAAAAACACTAACCAGCATTTAACCTAAAAGATATATTATGTACATGAAAAAATATGTTTACATTAAATCAACTAGCATTTCTAAGGCTACTTAAGAATATCGTTTAAAATTCATTTTATTTCACGTTTAATCTGTTACAAACGGCTTTAGACGTTAGATTTTATCAGGACTATCATTACTTTGATGAGGAGTACGGAAGGAAACCACCATAAAACGTCCAAAAAAGAAAATTTACTGTCATGAGTGGAAAGGTCAACGTGAAGCAAGTAGGCGCGATAACGTCACGCAAGCGAGCATCCCTCAATGTGGCTAAACAAAAGGTATCGCCTTCGACTCGCCAGTGGTCGCCGCCGTCCGGAGCCGTAGCTGATAACACTGTCCTTATCTCCCCTCCTTCCCTCCCCTTCCCTTCCGCGCCCCGCTTCTCAAGCCACCCTGCCAACTCTTTTGTTTCGCTTGTCTCAAAAATTAAGCGCAATAGCTCCGCTACAAATGTCTCTTTTTTAAGGGGCCAATTTCCACCGCAACTCAGTCGATTTCACCGCTCTTAATTAACTTTATTTCCTGTTCTCTTCGTTCCAGACTTTTGTTTCGAGCTTGTCGCTTTTTATTTTATGTTTTTTTTTTTATTTTATCTGCGTTCGCGTAATGGAAAAGATGGAAAACGAAATTTTAATGACTGGGTGCAAGTTAAGCTTTGTACGGTACGTGATTGTTTCGCGTCGCGTTGGCACGGACGCCAAGTTTGACATTTTAAACGGATGCGTCTGTTCGCTGCTTCCCCTTCCTCGTAAGACAATGGATTTCAGATAGCTGTTGAATCGCGAACACGTAACGAATATGAAGAGGATCGAGTAGCTGTCATATAGTCTTTATCAGTAGTTCGTCATGACACAGCAAGACAATGACAGTAGGTTACATGTTAAGTTAATTTTGGTATTGCTTCATTTCATTTTACATGGCCGCTCCAACAAATATAAGCAAATATATTTCAATGTAGAACGTTCCAACACTAAACGTCACAGAGCAGCGAAAGCAAATTTTGATTTGATATCAAAATAGTGGCGGGAAGATGCGACAGTTTCACCGCTGGCGGCGGACGGAGTGCGATCCGTGCGCGCGGTTTCCGCCGCGGGCGAGTCTGCCGTGCACCAGCAGATTGCTACTAAATTATTTAGCCGTTTAGCGATATTTGTCCGTGATATCTGCTGTCCAGTCCGATCGGACAGTCCGCAAATTGGATTCAGATTTCCACCGTCGTGGAAATTGATTTCTACGTGATATTTAGTGTGTTGCACGTATTGTTCGGCGAACACGATGTACCTTAATAACGTTATGTTAATAATTGTATTGATTTTTTGTAAAGCTATTTAGTATTTCTTTTTGCTTTCTACAGTGTAGCTTTAATTTAATATGTTTACTGATAAACATATTTTAAATTTAATTAATTGAAAAAAAGCTATAATCGCCATTAAATCAATGCAATTGTGATATAAGGCTCATAAATCATAGTGAATGAAGGTTATGGTGAATAAACTCGTTAAATTTTTTTCTTTACACATTTTTTTTACATTACACTTGGCTCATATCAGTATATGTGCGACTAGACGTTTTCATTCTCTAAAAACATTCCGACAACGGTTGAATACAGATTCAAAAAGCGCTCGAATAAATATATAATTCGTTGAGACGTCGCCAGAGATCTTCTAACACGGAAAAGGTCCACAAGTAACGTATAAAGCAGTATAAACCATTCATAGTGGGACCAATCTTCGCGACCTTTGTATTATTTAAAAGGACGCAGTCCAAGGAAGATTGCCGATCCCGCGTCTCCAACTACTACGCTATTTACGTGCAAAACAAAATGGGAATTGAAAATTAAATTATAACCTTCAAATAGTTTGCTTAAATCGTGTGAGAAATGAAACCAAAAATATTGCAGTTAAATTTTAGTTTTGTTTGCTTAGTTTATTTTAATAGAGTCAATTGATTTAATTTAAATTTAAATATTGATATGCCGTAATAAGGTGTATTTAATAGATAGTTTATCGTATTTTGGAACGAAGTTTCTTATGGGACGATGCGGAGGGGTACCCTAACCGGGAAAATACGTCCGTAACGTAAGATTTTTATTAATAATGCACACAGTGTACGACTTAACTTTGTAATAACGTACAAATTAGTAATGCACACAGTATACGACTTAACTTTGTAATAACGTACAAAAAATAACATATTTTTTATCATTCATTAACCACGATTTCAGAGCGTTCGTTTGCGCAATACACTAACTCTTATGCCAACAACCGTGAATGAAGTGTACCACAATAAGTTCGCACGTTACCGAATGACCGTGGGATGTTGTGAAACCTCCAGTTTTATTTTTTTTATACCTCGAATAGAACTTAAAATTAATATTTTTATATAATAATAATTAAATAATAATTTTATATAATAATTAAATAAGGAGCTTCGTTCCTATCCGGTATACCACGACACCACACATCTTTGTATTTTATTGCTTTTGTAGGCAGACGAGCATACGGCCCATCTGATGGTGAGTGGTTAACTTCGCTCATGGACGTCAGCAATGCCAGGGGCAGAACCAAGTCGCTGCCAATATGGCTTTATGGCGCTACATTAAAAAGTTATATTGAACTATTTGTGAATCTTTAATCTCAAATTAATCTGCTTCTTGTTTAAATTGAAAATCCATATTACTTTCTTGTTCCTTGTATTTGTTTTCACTTATAAATGTTCATCGTTCAGTTTTATTTGCGAGCTGAAGTGCTTGATAAACATCACTGGATAGTATTATAGGTTAGCGCCGAGGGTATTCAAGGGCTCAACGTATTTGCGAACTGTACCTGCTAAATAAACCTATGAAGATATGAAAATGCACGATTTGAAAAAGCAAAACTTCAATTTTTTTTTGGTTGATCGCTTGTGTACGAATACTATGAGGTATTCAATTCGACACGTCGGAAATACTAAACTCGAGAATAAGAATTAAAGGCTGTTTATAATCACATATATCTATATATTTTTTTTTTATTGCTTAGATGGGTGGACGAGCTCACAGCCCACCTGGTGTTAAGTGGTTACTGGAGCCCATAGACATCTACAACGTAAATGCGCCACCCACCTTGAGATATAAGTTCTATGGTCTCGAGTATAGTTACAACGGCTGCCCCACCCTTCTAACCGAAACGCATTACTGCTTCACGGCAGAAATAGGCAGGGTGGTGGTACCTACCCGCACGGACTCACAAGAGGTCCTATCACCAGTAAAAAAATACTTGTGAAGACCGAAGAAAATTTTATAAGATGTAATTTTGCTATTCAAAATGTTCTAAGAATTCTCTTGGTCAAAGTATCAGTTAGGTGTTTGGTAGTCTTTGACACCACAAAAGCACCAATAAAAAACTTTATATTCAATTGTATTAGCTTGTTGTAAGTAGAGAGAAGACATAATGTTACAATTGTTGTCGTGAGGAATTATGAATTCCTGTTCACGGCTTAAGTAACATTGCAAATTTGCGGTAGGCAGCGGCTTGGCTCTGCCCCTGGCATTGCTGAAGTCCATGGGCGACGGTAACCACTCACCATCAGGTGGGCCGTATGCTCGTCTGCTAATAAGGGCATTAAAAAAAAAAAAAAATGCAATCTTAGTAACAAAATTCTTAACTTTGTTTACAATACAATGTAATTCGCATAAACCTAAATACTTTTCGTTGTACTGTTAGGCATTTCTTATCGAGTGAGGGTTGTATTATGTAGCGGAAAATTTAATCTCACTCGTTCTTCGATCGTGAGACGAATGAACAATTACGCTGCTCCCTACACGAATCAGTTTTGTACCGTCGTGATTGAGTGAAGAAAAAGAAACTAGCAAAAATTTAAATTTATTCATATTTAAAAAAGCAATTCGATTACGTGTCTTTTAAATTTCTAAAATTAAGAGTATTAAAAATGCGTTCAAAAATGATAAATTGTGATACCCCTAAAATCCGATAGTGGTAGTACACATAAGAAAATAAATAAGCATGAATAAAATAATTTATAACGTTATCGTCATGATGATGGGCCGTAAAAGAGATAGGGTCATCACTTAGCTACGCTTAAATTCTCCATTACACTTAATTTTCACAATTAATTTCGTTTATTTTTACACACAAAAAAAATGTTTTTTATTGATTTTACACACGAAATTATGAAATAAAAAGGGAAATATTATTTTAATCATCGAGGGAATTGTACTTTAACTTAATTGTTGGTGGATGAAAACAATAGATTATAACTTTCAGGCTGTATCTTAATTGCTTGTTATCGTGAAAGTAATTAGTAAAGTACAAACAAGTAAAGAGCAGTTGCAGTTTCTACAACAATATTCTAAAGTTATCTATGTATAATAATTAAACATTAAAAGTTGTTCGTTGATTAGCCATCCTATTAATTTAGAACAATTTGATTGATAATTCGATACTTAGAATTTTACTTTTACGTAATGAAAACTTATAAGTCCTCCGGAATATTCATAAAGCGATAAAAAACGATGTTAAATTTTCGAACAGAATAACTTCTATCGTTTCTAGCTAGTCTTGAATGAAGTTGATACATATATGTATACACTTATATACCTTTTATTGCTTATATGGACGAGCTCACGGTCCACCTGGTGTTAAGTGTTTATCGGAGCCCATAGACATCTACAACGTAAATGCCGCCACTCAGCTTGAGATATGAGTTGTAAGGTCTCAGTTTGACAGTACAACGGCTGCCCCACCCTTCAAACCGAAACGCCTTACTGCTTCAGGGCAGAAATAGGCAGGATGGTGGTACCTACCCGTGCGGGCTCACAAGATGTCCTACCAGTAGTAATTATACTGATTATAATTTTGCGAGTTTGATTTTTATTACACGATGTTATTCCTTAACCGTGGCAGTCAATCGTGAACATTTTACGTATTTTAAGCAGTTTAGCGGGACATGGTTTAAATGAAAATGTAACTTTTTATGAATAAATATATTACATACATACATACATACAGTGATTACAAACCTGTGGTTGCATTGTTGACAAGCAAAGCATTCCAGATGATAGACGTTACTGCGAGCCCTCATCACCATTTCGAACGCGGGGATCACTTTATTACAAGCGGCACAGTATCCAGTATTGCCGAATAACCTGATTAACATATAGAGATTATTAATAAAAACATACATTTTATTATCTAAACCGGCAGTCGAGTTCACGGCTGATTTGATGCCAAGTTATCAGTAGTGGTCACCTGAATCCATAGATATGTATCTAAATCACCTCTATTCCACAGATATCAAGATCACCGCTATAGCTTAAATATATTAAACATCTTACGGCCAACTTGATTAGTGGTGTTCAGAAGCAATATACATAATAATATTGTCGTGATAATGCTTCAAACTGAAACGCGTGATTGTCCCGCGGCTTAAATTGGCATGACGATGTCGATACCAGAACTTATAGTTTGATATCAGAACGCAATACGTAATAGTAGTGGATTTTTTACCTTTTGGTTTCTATGTATTACACGATTTTATTATTCTCTAATCCTGGAGGTAGCTTGACAACATGTGTTAAGTATACCTGAGGAATTTGAACACCGACATAGTCACAGCGCTTGATACGAATACATTGAACATCTTATCACTTAGACCACTACGACTGGGATCGAGTTATATAATCTTATACCTTTAAACGAGCAATTCTTATATATTATATTGCCATTTCCGAGATTCGGATTATATATATAAAAGAATTGCTCGTTTAAAGGTATAAGATAATCTGAATCTCGGAAACGGCTCCAACGATTTTCATAAAATTTAGTATACGGGGGTTTTCAGGGGCTATAAATCGATCTAGCTACGATTTATTTTCAGAAAATGTTGTTTTATTCGAGTTTTCAATAATCAGCTTTATCGATAATCAACTTTATGACTCTTCCCGGCATCTATTGGCGAATAATAATACTATTTTTATTAATTGAGAGCAACTAACTGCTTTAAAAACACAACAAGATGGCGTTATAAAAAAAACCGGTCATCATCTAGTAAAGCTTGAAGAAGTCCGAATAAAAAATATACCTCAAATAATCTCTCTTGCAGAGAATTAGGTTGGCGCGCGTGTATAGAGTGTGGCCAACCTCCCCGAGTCGGCAGTCGCAGCAGCCGCACTTCAAACAGTCCTCGTGCCACAGTTGATCCAAAGCCTTCAAGAGATACCGCTCGGTGATCACTTTGCTGCACCCAGCGCATATCTGCCGAGATTATATGACATCAGTAAAAAGCCGCTACTGAGTGAGCGCTAATTATTATCGGACGGAGGAGTGTAAAGTTTCCCACACTAGGACCTCTTTTTACTGGTCATAGGACCTCTTGTGAGTCCGTGCGGGTGGTTATCTCCATCCTGCTTATTTCTGCCGTGAAGCAGTAATGCGTTTCAGTATGAAGGGTGGGGCAGCCGTTGTAATTATACTTGAGACCTTAGAACTTATATCTCAAGGTGGGTGGCGCATTTACGTTGTAGATGTCTATGGGCTCAATTAATTTAACCATTTATTTGACATACATACGTTGATATACTTATATACTCTATATACTCTTTTGCTTATTGTTAAAGTGTGTGGTCAAATTGAGAATAGATTAATGTTTATAGCGTATCTTTGGCGAAATCTGTAATTATAGAAATATAATATAATAATATCTTTGACAATAGAACCATAACAATGTTCAAACTTATAAATTTTGACAACTGGGGGACCGCTACTATACATAGATATCTCTTGTGTTTTACCTGTGGTTGAGGAGGATTCTGTGCAGATGTTACAGTCGTTGCCTGCGATGTAGCTGGCAGGGGAGACGAACGTGCTTCCTTCGTAACATCCATGGCCAGCATTTGCGAGCTTAACACTGGACTGCCGCTCGGCTGATGCGGCACTCGCCTCTCGCACTGCAAACAAAATAAGGTCTCTTTTAGAATTTAGAATCACAATTGCTACATTGTTTTTGGAACGAAGTTCTTTATGGGACGATGCGGAGGGGTACCCTAACCCTAACGGAAAAAACGGAAAAAACGTCCGTAACGTAAGATTTTTATTAGTAATGCGCACAGTGTTCGACTTAACTTTGTAATAACGTACAAAAATAACATATTTTTTATGATATATTTTTTATAAATCATTGTGAATAAAATAAAGTTGATAACTTTGTAAAATAGTATTTTATTTTATTTTTATCAATAAAAAAATCATAATAAAAAATGTATACCCGAATAATTATTTTCTTTATACCTCGAATAGAACTTAAAATTAATATTTTTATAAAAAGGAACTTCGTTCCTATCAGGTGTCTCACGACACCACACATCTTTTTTATTTTATTGCTCTTGTAGGCAGACGAGCATACGGCCCGTCTGATGGTGAATGGTTACCATCGCTCATGGACGTCAGCAATGCCAGGGGCAGAACCAAGCCGCTGCCATTATGCTAATATTAAGAGAGAGGTTCATCAAGACAAGGATAAATAAATAAAATTCAGAATATTCAGCAAACAGAAATTGCAATTCAATATTAACGATCTAGGTTCTTTATAATGAGCATCAATTACGAGAGGAATTGAGTACCATAAGAATTTTATTTTTCAATAAAAATTGCACAAGTCATACAATAATAATAAAATTAAATAAAAACTATTTTGTGTTACAGCATTACACGCTGAGCTGTTAATGTTATCGCCGGTAATAACGACTACACTAAAAAAAATTTAGCACAACTACTCAAGCGATTAATGAGAACGTGAAACACGATTCGTCGTTTCTGAACAAATTATGGGCTTTAAAATACTTATAAACAACAACAAAAACTTATGCCGCTATTGAGATTGTGAACGAAAAAAAAAAGTAGGTAAGTAATCGCGTCAAGCACGGCTCGCGGCTGCGTTACGGTTAATTAACATTTTTAAATAAGATTCAATTAAATTTGGCAACCGCTGTAACCTCGCACTATTTATACGCCGCCAATTTTAACTCTTGTATCTGCGACCACTGTTTAATAAAAAAAAAAAAAAAAAAAAACAAAAAAAAAGACACTCTGAAATCGTTTTCTAGTCCAACGGAAACGTGTATAAGAGGCAGCGTGGCTGAAACAATACCGACCATTGTAAGGCCCGTGACGAATGGCTCGCCTCTCTTATTTTTGTGTTTTGGAGAGTGCGTCCGATCGCCGCCGGCACGTAAATAATGGGATACTGATATTGGCCGGAAACATGCACACTGAACCAAAAATTCGTGTCAGCAACTGTTTGTTTAAGTAAGCTAATTAACTATTCTTATTAAAATCACGGACGATCGAGTGTAATTCTTCAATTACAAAGGCAAAACCGTAACAATGTTTCATGCTGTGTAATGCTTTACACTCAATAATTGATCGCGTCAGAGCTCATGTTTCAGTGCAACACATGCATTAAACAACTAATTAGCGGTACACGCTACTTTAAATGAAACATAATAAATCATTCCGAACGTACCTCACATTATTATTATCTTTTATAAAATCAAAATGTTCAATAGTTTCATTGCAACATAATTTGTTTATACATATCATTTTGTTTTTTGTTATCGTTGTGCTGATCAATGTTGATTTTTAATGTCATATCGCAATATAAAGAAAGTACGTAATAGAATTTCAAATTAAGAATTTTTTTACGAAATATTTCTAATGTAAAATCTAGTACAGACATTATTTTTTTTAAACAGTAAACAACAGTCGCTAACGCAGAGTAAACCTGCTTAGTTTATATCCGGTTAAATCCGAGCGACCGGTAATGTACTTACGTCGGTGCTTTCAATGCGACATTTTTTACAGAACCGGGCCGTCAACGGAAGCTTCGTGAATAATTACCGATCGACGACAGCAACACGCCACGCCACTCGGAAAACAACCCGTGCCGAATGCATCCAACCGAGATTAGACGCAGTCCAAGCAAAAAAGCTCACGCCTTCCATTAGCTCTGACTTTCAAAACGTCAATACGCACGAATTAGGATTTAACGAACGTCAGCCGTGAAGCCGGATACGAAACTATGCAAAAGTAATTTCGCGTGACTGTCAGTGGCTAATTGGTTGGTTATTAAGCGAGATAAAACAGCGGCGTGCTGGGAGCGGTGTTGCAGGCATCGCTAAATTGAAGGATGCGCTTAAACAGCGGCGTGCTGGGACCGGTGTTGCAGGCATCGCTAAATTGAAGGATGCGCTTTGGATTCGCGAGGGAGCCNGAAGCGGGAAACGAAACTATGCAAAAGTAATTTCGCGTGACTGTCAGTGGCTAATTGGTTGGTTATTAAGCGAGATAAAACAGCGGCGTGCTGGGAGCGGTGTTGCAGGCATCGCTAAATTGAAGGATGCGCTTAAACAGCGGCGTGCTGGGACCGGTGTTGCAGGCATCGCTAAATTGAAGGATGCGCTTTGGATTCGCGAGGGAGCCCGCGTCCGCATATCCAACGTGTCCCGCACCGCGTTAATGATTAACACCGACGCGGTCCGAGACCAATTATACGCTGCCACCATACTCAAATTAGAAACTATTTTCGCCCATTAGCAACCAACTTCATAATCAATTACACGTTAAAATTTCATAGCGCTGTTTCGGGAGCTCTATGTTTGGATAATCGGAGTTTGTGGTCCCTCGGCGAGCTATTACGCGGCTCTGAACGGACTATAGAGGTTTTTGTTGGGCTTACGTTGAATTTCATGCATATTTCGTGTGCAATTGCACTTAATGTATATGTAATTTTGTAAATTAATACGTTTACGTACGCTCGTCACAAGTTATAAGCAAAGTTCGTTTGGTTTTTCCCTGAAGCTTCATAAAAATGTTTCGTTTTAATTAGATCGACATTGAAATATAAACTAGGATATTATACGGCGTTGAGAGGATTGAGTGCACTTCGCTAATCATAATTCATCAGCGAGATTAAAGAATAAACGTCGCGATGAGGGAGATTTGTTGAACACGCGCCCCTGTCTCGCACTGATACATAAGTAAATTACTACAGACACCGCACTATTTCACAGGTCTATATTTATAAATAAATCATTACAATATACACCTTCAGACAAACGAAAACAATCTGGTAGGCCTTTTAATCTAGAAACTCGAAATCCCATAGGAAATAATAATTGATATAGTTAGTTCATGCACGTTTAAAAAATGTTAATAGAAAACATTACGTATAAGATATTTTCAAGTTAAATATGCCGATAAGTTATACACGTTGGTGGAGACTAGAGCAGTTATGTTATTCTTCTCATTCGTTTGCACTCTAGGCAGAGTAGTCGCGGTCGTTAGCTGAGGTGGTGGTGCGCTTCACAAGACGTCGCCATTCCCCGCGGACCGCGGCCTTTCTTGTGCACTTGTTGACAGAACTGTTTAGCTGCCTTTATTTGGTCGGTCCATCGTAACGGTAATCTACCGCGTGGTCTTGTACCCTGTATATAGTTATATACCTATATGCAAATTCCAAATGTAATTGAAAGCTAATACCCTCCAACTTAAGTGTCAAAAAGAAACATACTGACTCTGACTGGGAGTCAAACGCGGATATTATACAACTATAATTAATATCACTAACATATAGACCGATGAGATAAACGCTGACTAAACTATAATAGCAGTTCAATGAGGAACCGAAATAAATAAAAATAGATACAGCTGTAAAAAACGAAAAGAAAACAGTAAAACTTTTTAAATAGGTTTTAAAATATTTTATTATACAAGTCGATGTCAATAAACAATTACTTTTGTGTTATACATAAGATAGTAGCCATCGCAATAAAAATAGGCACATTTTTCATTTACAGATATGAGCGAGGTGTGAGTGAGTCTTCTGCGTAGATTATGGATTGTGACAGTGTGGGAGAGACTGAGACACAATATGATCGCCACACCTGCGGAAACGACGGCAAAGTAACGAGACGAGAAGCTAAATAATTCAACCAACTTGCAACGCTTGCAACGTTGCTCTATTTAAGATTTCTTCAGACAAATAAGCAACTTTATACTTTCACTTATGTTATTACGGATATATAGTGAAACGGATATTTACTGGTGGTAGGACCTCTTGTGAGTCCGCGCGGGTAGGTACCACCACCCTGCCTATTTCTACCGCGAAGCAGTAATGCGTTTCGGTTTGAAGGGTGGGGCAGCCGTTGTAACTATACTGAGATCCTAGAACTTATATCTCAAAGTGAGTGGCGCATTCACGTTGTAGATGTCTATGGGCTCCAGTAACCACTTAACACCAGGTGGACGGTGAGCTCGTCCACCCACCTAAGCAATAAAAAAAAATAAAAAACCAATTTAAAAATCGAATACATTATGACAGAAATTAATCCATTTACTTAATGTTAACTCTTGCTCGAAAACTCTTTGCTTCTTGTTTATATCCAATAGCAATTGTAACAAATCTCAATAAGGCTATTTGAAAGAGCAAAGTAAAGAGAGAGAGAGAGAGAGAGAGAGAGAGAATTCTTTATTGTACACCAAAAAACAAATAAACAGTGCGATACATTATATACAAAAAAGTACAATCGGCAAGTAAAGTTAAGATTAAAAAAATATGTATCCTGTAGATTCTGGTTAGCATATTATGACAACGTGATAACATTTTTAGATTTATTTCGGACTTTGAAGCGTGTGTTAATTTACAAGTTAATCGGACGTCTTGAAGTTGTGGAGCAACAGGTAAAATGAATAAAAGCAGGTTAGAAAAACGCATATCATAATGCGTTATTTACCATTACCAAATACATGCTTCAATTATGAACTTATTACATTACGATCTCTGACTCGCCTTATCTCTGCATTCGTTACTCGTTAATTCATAATTTAATTAAGCAATATACCTAATGCTATAAATAAATTAAATTGATTAATTTAGTAAATTGAATTGAAT